CAGGTAAACAACGCCACATGCACTGGGCCATCCACCTGATCTAAAAGAAAACTGGACTCATCAGGCAAGACAACCTTCTTTCATTGTTCCATGCTCCAGTTTTGACACTCACATCCCCCTTGAAGATGCTTTCGGTGGTGGACAGGGTTCTTCATGGGCACTGATCAGTCTGTGGCTATGCAGCTGTATATACAGTTAACTGCAATGCATTGTGTGTTCTGACACCCTTCTTTCATGACCATTTAGTTTTTCAACAATTTGATCTACAGTAACTCTTCTGTGTGATCAGGCCAGATGGGCTAGCCTTCGCTCTCTCTTACATAAGGGAGCCTTGGGTGCCAATAACCCTTTTGCCAGTTCACCATTTGTTCTTCCTTGCACCACTTTTGGTAGATACTAAATTCTGCATAGCAGGAACGCCCCACAAGACTTGCCGTTTTGGAGATGCTCTGACCCATTCGTCGAGCCATCACTATTTGGCTCTTGTCAAAGTCCCTCAGATCTATTAGTTTGCCCATTTCTTTGCGTCCAACAGATGAACTTCAAGAACTAACTGTTCACTTGCTGCTGAATATATTTCATCCCTTGACAGGTGCCAATGTAACGATATTATCAATGTTATCCACTTCACCTGTCAGTGATTTTAATATTGTGACTCGTCAGTGTATACAATCTATGTAATCCACTGTGAATTTCTTCTTCATATAAACAAGCTGTTTAGTGGTTTAACATCTTGCTGGAGGCTTTTTTATATATTGGGTAAGATAAGGTATATTTTTGGGGCGTGAATCTATCTGAGATATTTTCAAAGGCAAGTTAAAGATATAAAGTACTTATAAAGTATAATTATTTGGCTGTATTTTAAAAGTAGATCATCCAATAGGATCATCCTAAATGGTTCCCATAGTGATTGGTTTACTTTTAGAACTTTCCCCAATATTGATCTTGATATGGATGTATGAATTGTCAGGAATGTAAAGTGATAGAAACATAGAAACATAGAATGTGACGGCAGATAGGAACCATTCGGCCCATCTAGTCTGCCCAATTTTCTAAATACTTTCATTAGTCCCTAGTCTTATCTTATAGTTAGGATAGCTTTATGCCTATCCCATGCATGCTTAAACTCCTTTACTGTGTTAACCTCTACCACTTCAGCTGTAAGGCTATTCCATGCATCCACTACCCTCTCAGTAAAGTAATACTTCCTGATAATATTTTTAAACCTTTGTCCCTCTAATTTAAGACTGTCCTCTTGTTGTGGTTTTTCTTCTTTTAAATATAGTCTCCTCCTTTACTGTGTTGATTCCCTTTATATATTTAAATATTTCTATCATATCCCCCCTGTCTCGTCTTTCCTCCAAGCTATACATGTTAAGATCCTTTAATCTTTCCTGGTAAGTTTTATCTCGCAATCCATGAACCAGTTTAGTAGCCCTTCTCTGAACCCTCTCTAAGGTATCAATATCCTTCTGAAGATACGGTCTCCAGTACTGCGTACAATACTCCAAGTGAGGTCTCACCAGTGTTCTGTACAATGGCATGAGCACTTTACATTTTCATTCCAAATTGCCAAACTTAAAACACAGCTGCCTTGAAAAATCTTTCATAATTGTAGCCCATAATTTGAAATCAAAATGTACTTTGCATTTCCAGTAATTCACACTTTAGTGAAACATTGTGTGTGTGTATATGTATATATATTATTTCCGAATGTGTTTTTACCATTGACTCAACAACCCACCATTCATTGACAACATGCGTTATTTTATCATCTAGAAACTTCTCCAAGTATTGGTGATAAAAAGCAACAATTTAACAGTGGACCAGCTTGAAAGGTGGTATTCGGTTCTCAGTCAGTGTATCTACATGCACCGGAGAGATTATGACAAGACAAAACTCATTCAGGTGAGTAATAAGTCCTCACACCTCAGCTGAGACGCTGACCAATCGTGTCAGTTTGTGTGGGAAGTTTTATACTGTTATATCCTGAGGACCTTAACCCTCTTATCCTTATGGGGCACAAAATGCTGACAGTGATGGGCAAAAGGGAGTGTGATGGAAGCACCCAAGGAACAGTAGATGGATCTAGTCTGAGCTTTTCTAAAGCCTTTCCCCCGTTCCAGGGTGAACATAGTAATTTCCCGGGTTAGGAATAATTATCCAAGGAATAGACTAAAATTGAGTAAATGCTGACCACAGATAAACCGTGCCAACACTATTTTCCTTTTTATCTTTTCTTGCAGGACATGGAAAGAACAGTTGATATGTTTGAAACATTCCTGTGAAAGCTGCCAAACCAGCAGGTTTCTCCCCTGGCTGCTCGTGGGACAGCAGTCACCACAAGCGATCAGATATTTATTACCAGTGGCACCAAGTCCACCTCTGAGCCTCACTCTCCAGTGTTTGACCTCTCTCTCCTTCACTGTAACACGAGATTGGTGCTATTGTCTCAGGTACCTGATGCCAACCAGCCTAACACAACCAAACAAAACTCTAAGTCACAGTGGAAATGTACCACCACAGCTTGAAATCTTGCGGTGCTATTTGGCGCGTGGAGCAGAAATGCACCACACAATGTCTATTCACTTTCTAGTGTTAGAAAGCCCTTGGCACCTACATCCACTTTTACCTTTAAATGGGTTTTACATTAATTTCATGGAACGGCGCAAAACTGGAACCCACAAACAGTACCCAGAAACTTGTATTTATTTCTAATTGTTTTGAATCATTTTCTGTGCATCACTCCTTTGCCATCTTTTGTTGTTATGGCCATGCAGTGTTGGCAAACCTATGGAAGACAATTCAGCGGCAGCTTACTTAAAGACACATTACAGACTGAACACTGTCTTTCTGAGGGCTACGCTATTTGTGCCTTTTTTTCTTTCACTTTTCTTTATTTTCTACTCTTTGGTAGGATATTCATTAGTATTAGATTGTTTGAGGTGGTGGGAAAGAGTCTTTGGGAACAAAATTTGCCACAAAAATGCGATCTCTGCCTGATAAAATTACCAGTGAGCAAATTGTTGTTGTAAAAGTGGAAGCCATGTATTATTTAATATGGTGCTGAGTTAACAAAGGCAATCTTGCATACCTTTTAAAATACCCTTAAACCTCTTCAAGGGCTTTCTGTCACTTTACTAGCTGTACAAACGTGAGATATAAATTTACCTGTATGTTAAATGAATAGCTAAATAATGTGCGACCTAGATGGTAGCAGCCCTCCAAGTGTAGGAGACCTCTTCTCCTCTTAATAGGACTTGTTGACTTTTTGAGTGCCAGTGTAGCATGCAGCACATATTTTGCTCACCCTTTTAGTTTTACCAGGGTTAAAGCACTAATAATTGGCTGGAAATAACGGTGAGTGCAGTAAGGGATTCGATTTGTCATACACAGGTCACTTTATGCCAGAGCCCATTGGCACGTTTTGTAATTATTTATTATTTTAGTTAACTGTGAGCGCATGGGTTGTACTACTGTTGTGCTTGACCCAGTGACATTAGGTCAGTAGGAATACAGCGTGATTTCCATAATTTTCAATATGTTACATTTCCATAAATCACCATTCTATCGATAGACCTGCAGGTTTTGTTTTTGCTCTACTTCATTATTATTACTTTGTTTTTACTTTTTTTGTTTGACGAGATCAGTATTGAACCAGTTTGAACAAGTAATTTTAAATTTTTTTGGTATTAAAGCAAAGGAATTGGAATCTGTGCAATGAATCGCCCTGTCTGCCTACGGCCCTTAGTTTAGCATACCACTTACTTGTTTGTGTCTAATGACTTTTGGATTTCAAATGCTCTGCAGTCCATTAAATAAGTAGCCCAACTTGCTCGTTGCTGTCACACATAACCTTTGCCTTTGTCGGCTGCACTAACATGTTTTGTTATTGCATCATTTGTGAACAAGGGTTCAGCCAAGAGTTTTACTAGCTGTTATCTTACTTAAAGCATTAAGCTGTGTCATTCAGCCACAGAGTGATCAATTCAACTCTTGGAGGAGGCATCGTGACTAGTTGGCCATGTTTTTGGAATTTTTCTTCTTGGTTTTTTTTTTTTTTCTCCACAATTCTTTTTTTTACCTGCTTATTAACTGCTATAAAAGGAATCTAAAACCATCTGACAATAAAGGAACAAAATCGTCCCCAAGAACATGGACCCTCCAACAAAATATGGCAAGCAGTCCACTGCATGTGGCTGATCAACATCGCCCAGTATCCTTCCACGGAGTAGCCCAGCCACATCCAGAAGAAAAATTAGCATTATTAGGAAGGATTTTATTCACTAGTCTGATTTCAAATAATGCTGGGTTTGCAGGTGGCCAAGGCACATCTTTAGTGATACTTTGGAATGTTTGAAGGTGTATAGTCCAGCTTATTTACTCAATTGAGAGAGATTGATTTTCAGTTCTCTGGGATACATGGAAATATTTTCTGATTATCCTAATACATGAAGACATTCTGTGTTCATCTAATAAAATTAAATTTGGGAAACCATACAGACTGCGTTACAATGTGGTGTGGAAGTCTTTGCTCCTCCATAATTAAAAGCATAATTTTTCAATAAAGCATATATATTTTTTATTTTATTTTTTAATCTAATTTCTCCAATCAAATTCTATGAGAAGTCTGGCTTGACTAATAAAATTGCATTTAACCACTTTTTTGTATGAAACAATATTGTTAAACTTGAGGTTTTTGCAGTTGAATAAAAAGAACATGTTTTGGGTGAATTATTTGAGGGAGGTTAAAGCATGAGAGCTTATTTGAAGCATGAGAGCTTATTTGTTATATAGACCTTTTTGTATTTGTGTTTTTTTTTCTAACTGTTTTTAACCTTTAGGTGTTGGAATACTATATAAAGGCATTGCTGGCCCCATGGAATTTAACGGTTTCAATATATATGTGTGTGTGTGTGTATATGTGTATATGTGTGTATATATATATATATATATGTATATATATATATATATATATGTATATATATATATATTTCCATTTCATATTTAGTTTTTATTTAGTGGCAGTAATAAATAGGGATAGGTACACAAACTTTTTGAGGTCAATTTCTTTCCATCAGTTTATGCTTTTAAAAAAAAAAAATTTTTTTTTGCATTCTTAATCGCTTTTTGATACTGTACATTTACGCAAGGCCAGCTTTGTTGAGAAAGACAAAAAAAAAAGCTTTTTTTTTATTAAAGGGATTGTTAATAAAGTTGTTTACCATTGAGCTGCTGTTTTTATTGTTGAATCTGTTCTGGGAAAGAATGAATATAATTTCTATAACCTCTGTTCTAGCATTCGGCAATAGTTTAAAAAGAATATTAATGATACTAAAAAGAAAAAATGATCTATTTTACTAAATGGCTGCTTATTCCAGTTTTTTGAAAAGAAGCAAGTATACATGTTAAAACCTTATGAAGCAGTAAGCCAAACCAGTGTGTTTTGAGTTTTTTTTGGTTTGTTCTACAGCTGTTCAATGTAATGTCACGCGAGCCAATAGAAAGCTGAGGCCAAAGGCTGGTTTCATTTCCAGAACCTTGAAGGAACACATTATTATTATTATTTACAGTTTAGTTGATATACACCAAAAGAAAGTATGCTTGTATTTTTGTTCTGCATGTTTTCTTTAGGGGTTTATGAGAAAAACAAAAAAAAACAGCTTGCCAAAGTTGCAGACCTACTGTCTGCATCCTTTGCAAGTCTTTCCCTCTGGGAAATCCATCAATCGCCTCTATGCTGGAGCATCAAGCAGGCTCTTGACCAAGGCTTCTATGCTTCACTATAAGCTGCCATACAGCTCTTTAAAAAAAGGTGAAGGGAGTCATTATTTGGCACTGGAACTGTTGGTATTACAAATCATTTTCATATTTTTTTTGAATTATGAAAATGATTTGTAATACCAACAGTTCCAGTGCCAAATATTGTACAGTATAAAGATCTTGGGTTAAAATAGTGTAGAGGTAGGTCATGCAAACAGTCCTTCCTGAAACCATTCAAAGTAAATGGTTACGGTAGATCACAATTTAATACTGCTAGTTTTAAGGGGGTATTTAAAGCCTGCCACTTCTGTTAGTTCTGTGCAGCTAAAGAAAGCAGAAGAATACCTCCCTGACTATCTGACAGCTGCAACGTTTTATAAAAGTGCTGATTTTCTTTTTAAATCTGCCCTTTTATAAATTGTCACAAATATTGACAGACTCCAGGCGCACAAAGCACTTCAGCAACTTAAAGTCTGGAGGGTTCCTTTTACAGGAAGTGATCATTGTGATCATCAAACTGCTGCTTCTCTCAGAAGTGGTGAAATCTGTGCTCATTAAAAAAAAAAAAAAAAAAGTGTTTTTCATTGTTAATCATTAAAGGGACAGTCTGAACAATATGGCCTCTGCAGCTTACTTCTAGTTTGTTATGTTGTCTAGAGTCTGGGCACCATCTGCTTGTTTGATACCAAGCCATTTAGAAAAGATAGGCCAAAAGACTGCAGTCTCCACTGCACATGTAGCCCACCCTTACTGTGCCACATTGATAATACCTCCTGTTTGTCCGCATTGATAATGTGGAGTTGTTATGCATTATCACTGTCCGTTTTGTACAACGTGGAATTGGCCCAATACTCTCAGCCTGTCTGTCAATGATGGTAATGGGGGGTGGGGGTGCAGTGGAGTACCCCAGATCTTGTCAAAGAGCTACTAAACCGTTAAAAAGAATAAAAAGCATGGCATTGTGCATAGACACTCTGACAAAATAATCACTACATCAAGGTTTAGGGGTTATATGTCTCAAAGTGTCCCTTTAATATGGTTTTAGAGACAACTTTTATTCTATTTTTAGTGTGACTTCTTTTGCCTAATTAAATCTAGGGTGATGTTGTTTATTTGTTCTTAACTGTTTTGTTGAGTGTTTTGTTTTTTTCCCCCCTCCCACCCCAGAAAAGGTGAAATATTTTTTGTTATCGACATCGTGAAATTAACGTGTGTAGATTCCTTTCTGAGCAATTATTAGAAACAAAAGTGGTTCTCTAGTATAGGTTTTTTTTTTTGTTGTTTTTTTTTTTTTTTAAACCCTTTCAGCATTTTTGTTTTATGGTTAAGCCTGTCTTATTGGCTTATTGGCACTCAAAGGCTACTTAGCACATATCTAAACATGGCTGTGAAATGTTCACTTCTGCAGGAGACTGTCTTAAACTATATTAAATGCTGTTTTCTAAGTAGCCAGAGCATGTTTTTTGATGGCATGACGAAATTAGAACATCTAGTGGTCTCTTTCTCGCAGAAGAAGTGTTCATTCAACCATATCTTTCTCTCAAGAATACAATTTATAGTGATTACTGTTTTAAAAAATATATATATTTCTGACACCCCTGTTGTGAAAGCACAGAATCGCCATACAGCCACTAAACCACTCATTTTGTTTCCCTTATTGCATACCATTGGATTCTAGTTTAAAAGGAATGTTCGGAAAATTAACCTCTGTATTTTCTATTTTAATTAATTCTGGCAGAGCTATGTTTTAGGGCATATACTGAGTGTCTTCTTTACTGTAGGATTGTTTCCATAAAAATCATTTCATACATACATTGGCTTTCACTTTTCTTTAGAAGCACAATAGAGATCAGGATATGTAAGAAAATGTTATTTAGTATTTTTTTTTTTTTTTAATGTACCATTTCATACGAATATTCTACTCAAGTGTGATAGTCTGTATCTGCAGAATCACCATCTTACAGCTGCGGATACTTTTATTTTCATGAATTGGTTCCCACAGATTGTTTTCTATAGATATTTAGGAGGTAAAATAAAGGTGTGCCAGAAAATAAAGTATGCCTTTTGTAAACAAAAACATATCACGCTTACCTTTCTGGCTTTGGTGCTGTCCCTTTAAGATAATTCTTACTCCTCAGTCATCCTTGCGTTAAATCAGAAATATACAATTTTTTTGAGCAAGCCAGCTTTATTGTTGTTTACCGGACTATTGCAGAGAGAAAGCTTGAGCACCTATCTATTAAATAAGACATTCATGAAAACATTGTAATGTGTTGTCTAACCAGGGTTCTGTACTGTTTACTACTTTACTAGTAATCCCAAAATTGTCACAAACAGGACTTCACAAGAGGATCTGTGGGAATTTCTAATGGCTTTAATTTGGTAGCGTTACGCAGGAAATAATTTTTTCTTACGTAAACCGTAATAGTTATTAGAAAAAAAAAAATACACAGGTTTGACAGTAATTATTTTTGAGTATTTAAACAAAGCAAGCAATAGATCACTTTAATGTGATGTAATTGTTTGTCAAGTGTTTAATATATAGGGTTTTAGTTATAGAGACCATTCTGGCTTTCTAATTGAGAGCCGGTATAAAATATGCTTCGTTCAGGGAAACATTGCTTTATTACAAGTCTGCAATTTCTTTTTCTAAATCCCCATTACAATATGAAGTGTCATTGCTTATCTCATAGGTTTCCTGTTTGTATATCCGTGTACATTTAATTTACTAATCTCACCATTAAAACAAACTGTTAAACATGTAATTAACTTATGATGATAACTTTTTTTTTTTTACTTTTTATATTGGAAATATATTATACATGGTTATTCTTACATTCTTTATACTCTAAAAGATTCCAAAGCAGAAGTCCCAGATACTATATGTACTAAGGTGGGAATCTAATTCAACATTAGGTCAAAGTATCTCAGTCAGCTATTCTCTGAGATTGACAGCAGTGGATCATAATTTGAAATGTACTTTGACATCTCACTTTAATAAAACACCCTGTATGATTTCACAGAGTAGCAAGCCAACATTAAAACATTCTAAACTCCATAACCACTAACTAGAGCTTATTGAAGTGGCTGTTGTTCAGTCCCATCTTTTGGTGCAAACCATTTTCAATTGATTTTACAAACAGCTCTATCTGAAGCACCAACATACCAGCCCCATTTGTCCTGCTGAGTTAATGAGATATTTTAGCTTCTCGTTATCTGCAAGTGAGGACAGCAGTGATAGGCGTTGATTGTTGGGAAGAGTGATGTTGCTTAAAGTGACCTTGTAATATGGAAAGTAAGTGTATCTACACAAAATAATAGTAATTCTAAATGTTTAACATCTATTAAATGCCTACAATGTCTGTTTATTAAGTGTTAGCTTGATGTCCTACAATATTAGCATGGAGCACTGGTGGAAACCCAGATGCTTTCAGCAGAGCTAAATTCACTATAATCACAGTTCCGGGGATCTCTTCGATTTCCTCCTGAATACAGCAATGGTGCTCCCAATGCAGAGAGGTGCTTTGTTTTAAAGTTAGTCTATATTAAATATATGTACCCATGAGGATTTGTTATAGGAGAACCATCACAAAACATATGTTCCATTTCATTAATATTTTACTTTGTGATTATTGTGCTTTTTTGTTACTTATGGTAACTCATTCGGTAATGTTTAAAATTTTGACTGCTGTTTTGACCCGAAAAGTATCCTTGAATTGTACTAATAGCCGGTTCAAACCCCCCAAAATAAAAAGCAAATTCTCTTCCCCTCTTGACTTCAAAAATAACATTTATTTGCGTCAACAGTGAATTAACAGATTGTCCTATTTAAATGCTTGAATACCACCTAAAACTACCTTTCTGTGTTGTTACTTGATTTTCTCATATGCCAATGTTTTAATATGTTGCATTTTCTATGATCCATCGTTTTCTATGTATTTTCGGTGTGTGTGTGTGTAACTTTCTTTTATATATATATGTATATATGTTGGCAATGGCTGTTTTCTTGGTATTTCAGAGGCTTGGCTCAGGAGCTAATCATCAATTTATTGTGATCACACCATAAGCTTGAATTGGTTGGGATTGTCCCTTCACCTTTTTGTAACTTTTTATGTCTTTTTTTTTTTTTTTATATCATCCATGTTTGTCTACAGTCTGAAATTAGTTGAATGCTTCATTAACTACAGCATATTTACAGACTATTTTTATTGAGAATTGTGTTTAGATGGGATAGGGGGTGTTTTTTTTTTCCCTTCATTTTATTAGAATTCATTTTCCATTAGTTATGATGTAAGTTATTACATTTTTTGGGATTTATTGAATTTTGAAAAAAAAAAATACTGTAATTTGTAATATAACTGCTGTGACATACTTGAATAAAGATAATATGAGCAAACATTTGCTGTTTATCTCTGCATGCTTTCTTCTTCTTTAAATTATATCTAAGTTGCCAGAATTGTAGTTTTATTCCAAGGTATGCACCCAAAATGATCAACTGTACCACATGTGAAAAATACATTAAAGGACCACTCTAGGCACCCAGACCACTTCAGCTTAATGAAGTTGTCTGGGTGCCAGGTCCAGCTAGGGTTAACCCATTTTTTAATAAACATAGCAGTTTCAGAGAAACTGCTATGTTTATGAATGGGTTAAGCCTTCCCCCTAATCCTCTAGTGGCTGTCTCATTGACAGCCACTGAAAAGCTTGCGATGCTTCTCACTGTATTTTCAGAAACGCCAGCGTCCATAGGAAAGCATTGTAAATGCTTTCCTATGCGACCTGCTGAATCTTGTGGCGCAGCTCTTGCCGCGCGTGCGCATTCAGCCGACGCGGAGGAGGAGAGGAGGAGAGCTCATAGCGGCTGGAAAAGGTAAGTTTTAACCCCTTTCCAGAGCGGGCGGGAGGGGGTCCCTGAGGGTGGGGGCACCCTCAGGGCACTATAGTGCCAGGAAAACGAGTATGTTTTCCTGGCACTATAGTGGTCCTTTAAAGCAATACTATAGGCATCAAAAACCGTTTAAGTGTATAGATCAGGGGTAGTCAACCTTCGGCACTACAGATGTTGTCGACTACATCTCCCATAATGCTCTTACACCCATAATGCTGGCAAAGTATCATGGGAGGTGCAGTCCATATCTGGAGTGCTGAAGGTTGCCTATGCCTGGTATAGATAATGCCCCTGTAGTCTCACCAGTGGCATAGGTAGGAGGAGGCGGAACTTTATTGGTGGCGGCTGAAATACCGTGTTAGATCGGATCCCGCCCTGTTCTCCAGACTACAGTCAGAGAGAAGGGGAAGGAGCAGTGGAGGGTTTGCATGCTGAGGGGGTTCATCAGGTGATCCATGCACTTAGTGCCACCCAGTGGTAATGTGTCTTCAGGGCCTGGTCAGCGCTGCGACCTTTTAATAGCGCAACTGGCCCTCCATATTTATGTTGGTACTAAGAGGAAGTGGCAGCCGGTCACTCCCACCCACCTATCACAGAGCCCTACAAGATCAAGGCAGAGAAGAGGAGCATCGTCTGGGGAGCTTCTGACTCCCAGCAGCCTCTGCCAGCTGACTGGACCCCAAGGAAGCCACCTTCCTGCACCCTAAAGGTAGGAAAGAGGAGAGTGGTTAAAATTGTCTGCATGTGTGTCTGTCTATGTGTATCTCTCTGTCTGTATATCTGTTTTTCTATAAGTGTGTCAGTATTTGTATCTGTGCATACATCTCATGATTCAAACAACACTACACGCAAATACACCCCTTCATTCAAATGTCGACACAACCCTACATTCAAAAGCAAACACTACACACAAGTACACCCCTATATTCAAATAGACTTACTCTGTACAAAAACATGCTTACATTGAAGCTACAAACACTGCTCAATGTTAAACACAACCCTGCAAGAATGGGCAAGTGGTAGATTCCTAGCTGGCAGAGCATTATGGGAGACGACAGATGGGGATCTGCCTTTTGGCCATCGTTGCGATAAGGGGGCCTCAGAATAATTCTTGCACCATGGCTCTCTCTACTTTAGTTCCACTACTAGGAAGGAGAGAACACAAAGCTCGGGTAGAGAGGAGGAAAGGAATGATGGGTGGAAGAGCTGGTGGAGAAGGAGAGAAGGTAGAGTAGAGAAATATGAGCTGGGTGTCCCACCCGTCCAATTGTGTGATTAATGCTGCTGTCACAGCTCTGATAACAATCAGCCCTTTTCCATACTATACTGTAAGTATTAACACCATGCTGTCTGTTATACAGGGTGATTTTTTTTTTTTTCCATTTAGTGTGGGTTGGCACAGGGGGGTAAATAGCTCTTTGCCCAGCCCTTATTAGCATTCCGAGGGGCACAATGTCCAAGTGACCGCCAGGAAGGAAGCTCAGAGTGCTCCTCTCCTGCTGGTCAGTTTATGTACCGTGGCTGAGCTCAGCCAGCACCTCCATCCAACCAACAGGCTCTGTAGTATGGCGCAGGCTCCGTGGATGAGGCAGGGATATGAATCCTATCATATCATTTTATTGCTCACAGGGCAGCTGACCTCACGATCTCATGGACGGAATAGCCGTCCATAGCAGTGCCAGCAGGGGGAGTGCCTGGAATGACAGGTAGTCTCCCTGCTGCGTGAAATAAATTAAAATAAAGGTTAAAACCAGTGTAAAATAAAATATACTTAGATTATATATATATATATATACATATGATCTAAGTGTGTATATATATATATTAACCCCTTAACGCCGTTACGGCACCCCTCCCCCGGCAAATCAGCAAATCATCTCAAAGAGCGGACACATGGCCCCCTATAGCTGGCTGTGGATCTGCCAGCAGAGGGACAGTCATATTTAGTAGCCACTTAGTCACAAACACTGGCCAAATATTTGTTGTTTTTTTTTTCTTTTTTTCACACAAAAACAAATATGAACACTAACTTTGGCCAGTGTTTGTGACTAAGTGGCTACTAAAAAAAAGACTGGACATACCCCACTTGCAATACCTTGGGTTGTGTACTTTTGAAAATGGTTGCCATCATGGGGGCAATTCTCATTCCTGGGGTACCACACGGTCTCAAGGTGACATTACTAATCTTGCAAATTTTAATGTGAATAAAATGAAAAATGGAATGTGCTATGTTTGACCCTGTAACTTTCCAAAACACTGTAAAATCTGTTAATGGGGAGTACTGTTGTACTAGTGAGACTTTGCTGAATACAAATATGTGCATTTTATTGCAGTAAAAGCAAACCGTATTATGACATTTACAGCTAAAATGTCAGACAGAACTAAAAATGTTTTTTTTTAAAAACTTAATTTCCCACAGTTTTTTAAATTTTATTCATAATGAATTATGTTTCATATATGAAAAGTTAATGAGAAATGAAAGCCCTGTTGCTCCTGAATAAAATTATATATAATAAGTGTGGGTGCACTTAATATGAAAGAAGTGAATTACGGTTGAACAGACCTATAGCACAAATTCCAGTTTTTGTTTACATTTTGTTTTGATCAGAACGTGTACTTTTGACTCCGTCCTGAAGGGGTTAATATCAAAATACACATAGAATGATACTAACCCCTTAATGACCGGTGATGGTTCAGGACAGTCTTCAGAAAAATCCCCTTGAGGACCATCCAAGGATCTGCCTGCAGGAGAACTGTCTGCTGACAGGCAGTTTCCCAGCATGTGTAATATAAAAAAAATTAAAAAGTTAATAAAATGGAAAATTTATTCATACTTACCGTAATTTTCTTTTCCTGGTCATATGCCATGGCAGCACAACATTGGGTAGCTCCTCCCTATCCCCATTGGACAGGAATAATTATTAAGCTGTATAAGTACCACCTCCTACCCCTCCTTCCCCAGTCATGTTTTCCAGCAATAGCCCCGGGTGGGACCCTTGTGCTGCCATGGCATATGACCAGGAAAAGAAAATTACGGTAATTATGAATAAATTTTCCATTTTCCTGGCCATATCCATGGCAGCACAACATTGGGTAATACCCAAGCAATAAACCAGGGAGGGAAAGAGACACAGACTCCAAAAATTTGAATGCAAAGTGTATTAACACCACAATAAGTGAAAAAATAGAAATCAGGCATCGGATACAGACAGAACTGATTTAGCAAATTGATCAGATATACCTGCTCTAACATCAATTTGGTAGCTCTTAATGAAAGTGTTAGAGGAAGACCATGTAGCTGCTTTACAAATGAGTTCAGGAGAAACATTAGCAGCGGCTGCCCAGGAAGATGAGAGAGCCCTCGTGGAATGGGCTTTAAGACCCACAGGGACTGGATATCCAGCCGATTGATAAGCCAGAATAATAGCTGCTACTATCCACCTGCTAATGGTAGATTTGGGAGCTTGTGAGCCCTTTTTACAGCCGCAATGAAGGACGAAAAGACTGTGAGAAGTACGCCAAGCAGAAGTCCTATCAATATATATCTGGAGACATCTTACTAGATCCAGAGAAGATAGGTTAGTAGAATTCTCCATTTCTTGGGAGTCAGACAAGTCTTGGAAGAACAATATCCTCGTTGATGTGAAAGGAGGAGGTGACTTTAGGTCGAAATTCGGGAACCGTACGGAGGACAACTCTGTCTTTGTGAAAGACCGTAAAAGGCTCCTTAATGGATAGAGCATGGAGCTCAGAAACCCTCCTGACGGAAGCTAGGGCAATCAGCAGAGCAGTCTTAATAGAGAGAGCATGAAGAGGAACTGTGTCAAACGGTTCAAAGGGTTCCAACTTTAGGGCATTCAAGACCAAAGGGAGATTCCAAGATGGAACAAATGGTTTAATAGGAGGTTTTATCTGAAGGACTCCTTTGATGAATCTGATGACATCCGCGTCCAGTGCCCATCGATGATTGGTTAGAGCGGACAAAGCTGAGACGTGCACCTTGAGAGTGTTATAGCTCAGCCCTTTAGCAAGCCCAGACTGCAGAAACTCCAAAATATTAGAGGAGGAAGGATCTTGAATATTAATGTTCCTGTGAAGGGCCCAGTCAGAGAAAACTTCCCACACTCTATAATAAGTGGCCGAAGTGGAATGCTTACGTGCCTTCAGCATAGTGCCTATAACGTCCTGGGAGAATCCTTTACTCAAAAGCCGGTTCCTTTCAGTCTCCAAGCCATGAGATTGAGAGAGACCGGATTTGGATGAAACACAGGACCTTGGAACAGAAGATCCGGAGTTCTGGGGAGTGGGAGAGGAGGTTCCACCAAAAGACTTTGAAGCAGAGGAAACCAGGGTCTTCGAGGCCAATAAGGCGCAATCAGGATGAGACACCTGCTCTGTTCTCATCTTCCTCAGGAGCGGGAGAATTAGTGGAAATGGGGGAAAGGCATAGCCCATCCTGAACCTCCAGGGGCTTGATAAAGCATCCCTCCCCAGTGCTAGGTGGTCGTCTTCTTTCGTGAAGAAAAGCTTTACTTTTCTGTTGGCCCAAGTGGCTAGAAGGTCTACTTGAGGGAGACCCCATTTGTCCACAATCAAGCGGAATACACTGTCTGAGAGGCACCATTCCCCCGGATCTATCCTGGATCTTCTGAGAAAATCCGCCAGCTGATTCCGTTTCCCTGGTAGATGGATGGCAGTAAGGCCCGCCAGGTTTCTCTGAGCCCACCACATCAGGTGATTCATGATTTCCATCATCTTGCAGCTCCTGGTACCCCCTTGGTGATTGACATAGGATACCACCGTGGAGTTGTCCGTCCTTATCTTCACCCATTGCCCCTTGAGATGATTCGAGAAGTGTTTCAATGCTTTGAGGACAGCCAGAAGCTCTAGGCAATTGGAATGAACATTGTTTGCCCTGAAACTCCATTCTTCCTGCGCAAAGTCGTGGAGACAATGAGCGCCCCATCCCCATTGGCTGGCATCCGTTGTCACAGTTATCCACGCGATATCTCCTAGTGGAAAACACTTTGATAGGTGCTCCCTGTTTAACCACCAGATTAGAGAATGGCGTACATTCAGGGAAAGTTTGATGGGTTGGTGCAGGTTCCCGGAGGAGAACTGTCTCAGGAAATTGGCTTGGAATGGTCTCATTCTCCACTGTGCCCATCTGGTCAGTCCTATTGTGGAGGACATGGAACCAAGGAGGCTCATTATGGCCTTTGCCGGGGCCACCCTGGATATCAGCATTCTTCTCAATAACATCTTGAGTTTCCGTATTCTTGCTGATGAAAGTTGAACAGTGCCCTTTAGAGTGTCGAAGTGAGCACCTAAGTAAACCATAGATTGCGTTGGGTGGAGGTGGCTCTTCTTGGTGTTGATCTTCCAGCCGTGAGCTTGAATGCTGGTAATAGCATGGGATGTCAGAGAATCTACGTTGTTTCCTAAGATCAAGATGTCGTCCAAATAATGGTAAATCGCAATGTTCTGTTTTCTGAGCTCTGCAATGAGAACAATCAGGACCTTTGTAAATGTCCTCGGAGCTGTGCTCAGTCCAAAGGGGAGGGCCCTGAACTGGAAGTGACCTTCTTCCACAGCAAACCTCAGAAACTTTTGATGAGTTTGGGCGATGGGTATGTGAAAATACGCATCTAACAGATCTATGGACAGCATCCATTGGTTGGGTGACACTACTTTTATTATAGATTGTAGGGATTCCATTTTGAACCTGCGAATGTGCAGATGCTTGTTTAGCCTGTGTAGATCCAGAATGGGTCTCAATCCCCCTGAGGATTTCTTCGTTAAGAAGATGTGGGAGTAGAACCCTTGAGTTCTCTCGCCGGCTGGCACTTTGGTGATAACTTTCTCCTTCTGCAAGGAAAGGATGAAGTCTTGTAAGGCCATGCACTTTTCCTTGTCCCCTGGCCACTTTGTGAGGTGAAAGGACCTGCTTGGAGGATGCTCGAGAAATTCTATCAAGTAACCTCTCCGAATAATATCCAGTACCCAACCGTCGCTTGTGGATACTCCCCATATCGGTAGATATTGGAGAAGACAAGCCCCGACACCTTTGGATTTGGGAATTATATAGTCATAAATTCCTCTGGTTTTTATAGGAAGATGAACCGCGTGACTTGCCTCCTCTGTTTCCAGCTGGGGCTCCTCTCCCAGGTTGAAATCTGGAATATTCTCTGCCCGGTTTGTAGGACCTACTGTCACGAAAGGAATGGTACTCTTTCCGGGCACGAAAGGATCCTTTATACTTTCTCTCCTGAGGTAGAAAGGCTTTATTCCCTTCAGCCGCCCTCTTAATGCATTCGTCCAAATTCTTGCCAAATAACATACTCCCGTGAAATGGCAAAGAACACAAACTATTCTTGGAGGAAGCATCGGCTGCCCAAGATCTGAGCCAAAGTGCTCGCCTAGAGGAAATCGAGAAGGACATATTTCTAGCAAGACTCCTTACCAGATCCACTGCAGCTTCTGATGAAAAATCAATTGCTAGACGCATATCTCTTAGGTCCTCCAAAATGGAAGAACGGCTTCTGCCACTCCTTATGTCCCCTTCCAGCTCCTGTATCCAAACCTTCATAGCTCTCGTAACTGACGTGAGAGCAACGGCCGGGTGGAGACTTGTGCCTGAGGCTACATAGGATTTGGAAAGGTAGTATTCCATCTTACGATCCATAGGATCCCTGAAGGAACCTGCATCGTCTACAGGAAGGGTAGTGTGCTTGGCTAGTCTGACCACTGCAGCATCAACTTTAGGTGGAAAATCCCATGTTTCAGCATCTTTGGAATGAAACGGATATAATCTTGAGAACTTCCCTTTTGCAGATGATCTCCGGTCAGACCTGGACCATTCTTCTTTAATAAGGTCACTAATTGTGGTATGCACAGGGAAAGCCGCTCTCTTTCTTCTAAGATCAGAGAAATAGCGGTTAGATGTAGACGGTTCCTCCTCTGAGGGTTCCTTCAAGGTAAGGGTTTCTCTGACCCGGGCAATTAAATGATCCACCTCCGCAGGTACCAGGAAGTCAGGATCAGGGATAGCCTCCTCCTCCGAGGAAAAAGCTAGGTCTCTCAGAGAAGCTGAATCCATTAACTCTTCTTCAGAGTTTCCTGGAGATAAATCTGAGGGCTCAGAATATCTAGGCCGCTTGTGGGTCTTACCAACCTCTCTTATACCCTGGGCAACTGCATGCTTAATAAGTTGCATAAAGTCCGGTGTTGAATGAGAAGGGCCAGCTGCTGCTGAGAGACAATCTGAACAGAGACGTTTTCCTTCTATGGCTCTGTTATCACAGGATATACACAGCGTCCTTTTGGGCGACTTCCCCTTGGACGATCCTGAAGTCTTTGTACTTTTAGCACTGAAATACAACAAACGTGCTCATTAGTACATTACCTCTCTTTTTTTTTTTTTTTTTAAAAGGATGGCTTACCTATATTGCTTAGATTGTGACCTATTGTGATGAGAAGAATCCGATTCCCTGGATCCTGAGCGAGAATCCATCTATAAAGAATAGATGGAACAGCGAAACTAATACCAAGAAGAAATATATATAAAAAAAATAAAAATAAGAGGGGAGAAAAACTTACTTCGATGCTTGAGAAGGAAAAAGGAACCTGGAAAGGCGAAGAACCAACAGAATGGTGCAGAAAAAACTTTCCTGGAGGAAGAAGCTCAACCTACCCTGAAAAAGAGGTCTGGCGCTTTAAGAAGGGTATCTGATGTCATCGCGCATGCGCAAATGAGCGAAAAAACGCGCGAACGGCCCAAATGGATAGATTTAGCGCGCGAACGTGCTAATTCGTTAATCGCGTTCGCGTGCTTATTCAAACGAAGCCGCGCGAACGCTTAGAAACAACCGAACGTCGCGCATGCGTCCAGGAGCCCACGAATGCCGTGCAGGCGCCCATGAGACTCCCGAACGCCGCGCAGGCGCACAGGAACTCCCGAACGCCGCGCAGGCGCACAGGAACTCCCGAACGCCGCGCAGGCGCACAGGAATTCCCGAACGCCGTGCAGGCACAGGGGAACCCCAGCACATAGAGATTACAGTTTTCTTAGAGAAGGAGACTGATTACCTACTGTATCTTCAGAAGAATAATCTTACAGGTAAGAACCAAATCATGGAGCCATTACCTTGATTCTGGGGGGAGATTCCAAGTCCGGAAACCAGCCATAATTCCATGTTATTCCACTTGCTACATTATTGGAAGAATCATTCTAATAGTCTGAAAAGACCGACATGTCCTAGGGATAGGACAGGAAAAAAAGACTGGGGAAGGAGGGGTAGGAGGTGGTACTTATACAGCTTAATAATTATTCCTGTCCAATGGGGATAGGGAGGAGCTACCCAATGTTGTGCTGCCATGGATATGGCCAGGAAATAAGAATATAATTTATATATGTGTGTGTGTGTTTATATATATATATATATATATAATGTGTGGCGGAACCAGCCTCGCCACTGGGCATTGGAGAAGGCTGATTGCCAGCCTCCTGCCCTGTAACTATGGCCCCATGTTGAAATGCTTGATTTTCCCCTGCAAAGACCCGAAATCCGGGTCATTCGGTACTTTCCCTCTTTGAACTTTGATACCCCAGATGTGAAAGACTTTGGCTCCATGGCAATTGAACTGTATGTATGTTATCTGAGCGCCATTCAGTAATAATGTGCGCTCAGATCTAAGCTATCTGGGGATATGTTGAATGTACCTGTTTTATGCAATAGCTGCACAGTTATATATTTTTATGTATTTTGTCTTTTGCTACCATGTGGCTAATTGAGTTTTGCCTCTGTCCTTGGATATAATTGGATTACTTCCCAATTATCTCCAGGAACTGGTTTTGGGCAGAAAAGCCATGCTTCATTTGGTCACAAAGGACTTTGATCTCACTTTTGACCCACTGGACCAATTTGTATGATTTTGACGTGTGTTCGTATTTGGAGTATGCTGATTCTGAAACTATAAGTTTGTATGTGAATGTGATGCATACTTTTAAAGTTATGAATATTGTGTAAAATG